GAGCTGTACTTGTTTGTCCTGCTCCAGGGCCATCTGTTCTTGCAGCCAGTACTGTATCTCTGCAGTTCATCTGGACAGGGCATTGACGCAGACTGTGAGTGAACCCTCTCACTGCTACTAGTGGTTGCAGAGCTGTAGTCATTCCCATCTCAGTCATCATTTCACAATTGTGCTTGGAGGTGAGGCATAGAATGACTGTCAGCTGCAGGCAGGACATGTGCTGCCTGGGGGTATGGTACTACCAGCCTGGGCGCTGCCTGCAGGAGCAAGAGCAAGAGCTTGAAATTGGTCATTTCATAAGGTGGCAATGCTGGAGGTATCCAGGCAGGTTTAGGGCCTCTCAGACAGCTGTAGCTATGGGCCCAGGTGGAGCATATCAGTGGTGATGGGATGCTGCTCAGCTGGCTGGACACCAGGAGGTAGTGATGATGGGGTCTCCTTTCTTGCTGTTCTGGGGAAGGCTGTGCTGCTGGAAAAGTGACATCAGCCCCCTGTTCAGCCCATGGGCAGAGCATGAGAGAGGTCCCTGTGGCTGTGGCTTTGTGTGCAGGCCAGGATGGCAAGAAGGGCAGGAGGGAGCTGAAATGGTGTTGGGCTGTAATCTACACAACTGTTTCTCTTGCAGCTGTCTTCTGAGCCTTTTCCTTCACAAACACAAAGGGAGAGGGCCCTGTTCTTCACTTTCCCAGAGCATGTTCAAAACCCTGCTTTTCTGGTGCTGGAGGAAAGCCTAGCTGTTGCTGCCTGCTAGCTCCTGTACAACATCTGCCTGACAGGAGGACAAGGCAATAGCAGCACCATGCTTGCATAGTCCTCTCTTCCACCCCAGTGTCTTGACAGAAAATAACAGAGGGACTTTGAACAAAAGGAAATGTGACACACTTTGTTCCAAGCAGTCACATTGACACTGCTGCTGTGTGCCAGAACTGGCTGTCCCTTCACACCTTGCACTGGGACACTGATACTAAATGGGCTTTGGGGGAAACTGTCTGGACTGTGGAATAGCATGTGAACCATGAAACAAAGAGATTAAATGCCCATTGGGGTGGCTAAATCGGCTAGCATCTTCTGTTGCAAAGCAAGGTAATTGACTGATACTCCAAGTGCTAAAAAACCCAGATCTGGAGCATGCTGAGATAGCAGTGTGAATATGAACCCTGCTTACTACAGGTTTGGCCATGTCCTCGCTGCACCTGGGTGTAATGGTGGTAGTGAATGTGCCCTAATGTGAAAGCAGGGTCCTCACATGTGTGCCCTGTTGATTCACTCCAGATGATTAGGAAAACCTTGGATCATAGGCAAGAAAACTTTAAATTGAAGCATTTCCAGAGAGCAGCACTGGACCTTGTGGAGAGGTGAGAGGGCTAAAAATCTGTATTATATTTAAGTGATACTCCCTCTACTAAGGAAGACGGACTTTCCATCTGTACTTAAACCACTGATTTGGTGTGCTGATGGAGTAATTCATTTTTGTAGCACCCTAGAAAGGAAGTTCCTTTACTCGGTTTATAATTTTGTGTGTTTATCATTTGTGTTTATTGCTTTCTATGTACCTGATTACAAAATTGACTAAATTTGTGTTAAGAATCTATCCCAGTTACTTTTAATTGCAACATTAACTGCTTTGTTTTGGCTTATTTCATAGGATTGAATTAATATCTGAAGGAATTATAATACTGTGTGTGTTGTTCTTAACAGCATCTATGACTTTATTTCTAAGATTGGATGGATCCTTGCTCATATGCTTAGATGCCAAGATGTTTGTGTAGGTGTTATATAAATGTATACCTATAATATGCATATGCTTTGGGCCACCTCAAAATATTTTGCTGCTCCTGGCAGACAGAACAGACAGCAGGCAATACGAGTATTTGCAAATTTGCATTGGAAAAGCTGCTCAAAACTAAATATCAAACAGATGATGTATGGGTTTTCAGGAAGCTGTGCCATTGTGTATTAGGTGCCATGGAGACATCTCTTAATGGTAATACACCCGTGAACTTTTGCAATATGAGCCTGGAGGAAAGTGTTGGCTACAAAGAATTCTCTTCTGCTAGGAGTTAACTTCTACCTGGGACATGCTTGGGGTGAAACTGCTGATGAAGATGATACTTAGCAACTGTGCTGCGATAAGTTAATTACAGAGGAACAGCCTGATGGATGCAGTTTGTCTTGGCTGCACTGCACAGACTTATAATGGGAAGAAAGGTGATGGTATCTTCCGAGCAGCACAGCTGAAATACTGCTATACTCCAGGCTAATATGGGAGCAAGTGCCTCCCTTTCAGTTTGTGTAAGTGAAATTACGTCTGGCTTCGTGGGCCTCTCTCATGTCTTCTCTTGTTTTCTGCGAAAGATGCTCTTCTTTTCTCAACTCAGTTGTTGTATCTGAGACTTTTAGAATAAAATATCATAGATATTTTTAATATAGAGACTTTTTTAACATGTCACAACTTATACAAAAATGTTTAAAATACATTAATTTTTCTATGCTTTTTCTTTTTTTTGTAGTAATCATTAGCTCTTTAGCATTAATATCATATTCTAACCTTGCATATTATGTACTGAAAGAGCAGAATAAGGTTTAGTTTTTTCAGTTTGTGCACTTTTGCCATGGCAACAGAGCTGAACAGAAGCCAAGTCAACAGTGCCACAAGCCAGAACTTGAAGGTGTACATTTTATAAGCTGCTTTTGCTGTAGCAATTCAGCTACGAATCTGTGAGAAAGTCTTTCCTTTTTCCTTTTGTAGTGAAACATAGTAATAACAACATAATATATAATATTATATATCATATATTGTAAAATTATATAATACTATATATCATATATTGTAAAATTATATAATATTATATATATAATATAATAACATAGTAATAACAACATTTAAGAAGGTTTTGTAATGTGTTACGATGGCACTATTAAAACATAAAAATCAGAATCCCCCTTTAAAATGAAATGTGGGTGCTTGTTTAAATCTAAAGATGCAGAACTGATACCAGCATGTAAGTCTGGAAGGTTTGGGTTTAGAATTCTGCTTTCTGTGCTGTGTGAAGCTTTGAATAAATGAGTCCTTTCCTTTGTGATAAAGCATGGCCTGCATGAAAGAAAATTGAGAACAAAATGCAGCATAGTGGATAATACCACATCATAGAATCATAGAAAAGCTTGGGTTGGAAGGGACCCCAAGGATCATCAAGTTCCAACCCCCCTGCCATGTGTAAAGCCACCAACTTCCACATTTAATACTAGGCCAGGCTGCCCAGGTCCCCATCAAAACTCACCTTGAACACCTCCAGGGACTTCATAAGGCAAAATGCAGAGGAATGGGTATGAGGAGGGAAGGAGAATAAGGAAGTGGGGGCATTTTCCCCTTTGCTAGGTCTGGTACTGGTTGATTTCTACTTGTATTTTTCTGGGAAATTCAGAAGTCAGTCTGTGGACAGAGAAGTGTGCTGATAGCAGGTGCCTGCAGCAAACTTTGGGTTTGGTTGGGTACTGCTACAAAAACGATGTGCTTTCACACATTAGGTGTGTTTGGCTAAGAGTGTGTCAGCATATGTGCTGAGAATATGGGTTTCTATTAGCTAGGGTTTATGCAAAGTTGCATTTTTTTTTATTTAATATGCTGAATGTAGGGGTTAAGTTTGCATTACTTAGGAGCAAGAGAACAGAAGGGACGGGGACAGTTGGTGCTTGAGGCTCCTGGCTTTGTGTATTTTGGTAGCTGAGGTAATGCTGCGTCTGCATTACACAGGAACCCAGTTTCCAAAGCAGAAGGTTTGATTGCCAGGGAGGCTGGTGTGGTTATAGCAATGCTAAGGAGTGTTCTCATGGAACAGCTGACATAAATAGCACGTGTACCTTTCAGGGCTTCAGGTTAAGCTTGTGACTTGTGGCCACCTGGATTTGAATACAGAAGCAATGGGAGGCTCGTGGAACTCGGAACGACTGCTGCTGTGCCATGCTGCTCTTCTCAGCAGCAGGCTGTGCTGAAGGCCCCACCACTAGGACCTCCCAAGAGACCTACAGCTACTACTCACAGCCCTCTATGTTTTAAGCTTCCTTGGCTGGATTTCTTGCTGAACTGTAGTGTTAGGATGTGTCTATGTGCAGTTATAGGCATGTCTATGTGTGGAAACCACAATAAGCATTAGCTGAGCATCTGGCTCAGGGCTGACAGCTCCATGCTGCTGCTCTCCAGGGCTCTTCAAACACCACATGTATCTGGATTTTTATGGTTAAAGTGTTCACAGGTCCCATCTCAGCTCTAAAGAAGGAAGATATTAACAGTCTACAATGTTAGGAATGTGCAGTGGAGGTAAAACATGTGCAAAGAGCCTCTACTGTGAGCTGGTGCAGTCTCACCTTGGGCACTGTGTGCTGCAACTTCAGAGGGATACAAGACTATTAGACAGCTTCCAAAGGAAGGCTGTGAAGGTTAAAGATCTGTAAGATAAGATGTATGAAGAGCAATAGAGTCCGTTTGTTTGCTCAACCCAGAGCAGAGGAGCTGAGGGGAGACCTCATGGCAGCTGCAGCTCCTCAAATGCAGCGGAGGGGCAGTGCTGAGCTCTGCTCTCTGTGACAGTGACAGGGCCTGAAGGAACAGCGTGGAGCTGCGTCAGGGGAGGGGCAGGTTGAGTATCAGAAAGAAGTTTTGCACCAGAGGGCGGTGGGCATGGAAAAAGATTCCCAGAGCTGTGATCAGGGCCCCAGGCTGGCCAGAGATCAGGGGGGTTTTAAATGATGATATCAGAAATGGAGCTTGATTTTGGATGGTCCTTTGTGGAGCCTCAAGAGTTGGACTCAGTGTTCCTTGTGGGTTCCCTTCAGTTCTGGATATTCCATGATTCTAATGAGCACAATAATTATAACTGAAATGTTAGACTCTTCAACCTTAAAATGAAGGAAAATCAACTACTTCTTCTATCTTGCCCATTTTAATTCCCCAGAAATCATTATCTTCTATTCAAGTCAGGCACACAACAAGTAAAGTTTCACCAGATCCACAGTTCAGCAGAGAACGAGCATTTGGTGTTCCTCTAGAAGCTCTCGCAAAGAATGCAACGCAATGTGGAGTCCCCTCTCTTGTCACACAGATGGTGGAGTATCTAGAAGTATTTGGTAGGTTAATGTTTTGTCTTCTCTGCTCTCTGAGAGTTGTTGTTACTTTTTTTACATAAACTGTACATTTAAGCTGTAAATACTCAGCACTTCCATCATCTATTTCTATTATTGTGCTTTTTTAAAGAACTTTTTAAGATGCAGTTCTCACCACATAGGTATGATATATGACTCTTGCTTACTGCTTCATACTTCTTGAGCAGGTCTGCAGCATGTTGGTATATTTCGAATCAGTGGTTCAGTGAATAAAATCAAGGAACTGAAGCAGAAGTACAATCAGGGAGAAGAAGTAGACCTCATTAATCATGGAGATGTTGATTCTGTGGCCAGCCTTCTGAAACTGTTTCTAAATGAACTGCCAGTGGCTGTTCTTCCAGACAACGTCTGTGCTGGCATGCTAAAAACTTTCCAAGGTACAGAATGGACATTTCTAAGCTTCCTTCTCCAAAAGATTCATTGCTTTACTAAATGCTGAGATACCATTTTTTAATCTAATCACCATAATATTACGTTTATTTATCTACTGCCTCACATCTCTCTTTCCGAAGCCAAATCTTCACTATTTCACATTTCCTTGTACAGCAACCTTTTTATTCCCTGTTCTGATGCAGTACTTTTTACCAATTTTCTTACCAACTTCCTTGAAGCAGTGGGTGGCATGGAATGGTGTGAAGTATTTTAATTGCAAAGCCAGAAGGAGTTGCTTAGAGCAATGCTGTCTAGTTCCCTGCTCCCGCTGATAGTTCTTAATGTGTAAAATAAAATAAAACTCTACCATGGATGGTAGCTAATGCTTTCAGGCAATTACAGAAAGTGCTTTTCAGTGATAACCAGTTCAAGTTTTTGCGTACAAATAAGTGTGTTTTATGGGTTAGACTGCAGGTTGCTCTTGTTCAAACTCCGTCTGCTAATTCCAAGTTATATAAATACTTCAGAAAAAAAAGAAAAAAAAAACAAAAATCAATACAACAGTGATGACAAAAAAAGACCACAGAAAATCACTTTCATCAAAGATTGTACTGAAAGATCTTTCTGTTTCCACAAATTTTTGCAATCATCATGTTTTGAGTACCCTGAATAATCTTGCTTGCTCTTCCTTTTTTTCCTCCTCCATTCCAACTCCTTTTCATTAATATGTTGAGCAACATGGGTCTTAATTTTTATGAAATGTATTTTTTAGGGTTACAATTGCCCTAAAGGATTGATTTGCTTTCACAGTATTAAAGCTACACAGATGTGTCCTGGAGATCTACGGCAAATTTGGGCATCAGCTGCCAGTTACTGAGTAGCACTGACATTCAGTTCTAATATCCAGGAGACTTTATCACTCTAATTCTGAATTGCTGATCAAACAGGGAGACAATTTTGCCTTGTAACATTTCTTTGAAGAATGGGAATCAAGGAAATGCTAAGTATCCACAATTTAGTTTTTTTGAGCATCTCGTGTAACTACACTCATGTATTTATAGAGCAAAATTGTTTTGAGATGGAGACCTACTAATTAGTCAGGAAATGGAGGTGAGTAGGGACTGAAGGGGTACTATTTTTTATACCTCTTAATGAGAGGCAAACAGCATGCGTCAGATCTCTGCGGAAAATCAAGGCTGATAATCTTATATCCTCAAGGCAGCCTTAAAGATTCATGTACATGATTACTGCCTGTTATCAGCTTTACTAAAAAAGCAACAAGTACTAGCTTCTTCTATCCTAGCAGGAAGAATAGCATAAACAGTGCATATAAAACTTGTTATCTGGGAAATCTGTGAAAATATTTACTAAAATTTAGTGTATAAATTCTTCATTTAGAATACATACTAAGAGTAAAGCACAGAACAAATATTTTAATGTCTCTGGTGAGGTTGTTATTACCAGGAATAACTATGAAATAACTTTTTTTTTTAAATACAGAGCACAGGACTGACACTACAGAGTGCATAAAGAATCTGAGACAGTTAATTAACTGCCTTCCCAAAGCACATCAAAACCTTCTCCAGTTCCTGTCTGCATTCCTGTTAAAGGTAGCAACGTACAGTGCAGTGAATTGCATGACTCTGGAAAATTTAGCCATTGTGTTTGGACCTGCTCTTTTCAAGTGAGTACTACATGATCACACCTTAAAAATAAGGCTTTCTATCATAACATAACCAATAGTAAGCATAGCGTTTTGAAAGTTAAATGTCTGTACAGAATATTATGGGCTAGTGTCTCTCCAAGATGCGCAAGTAATTCATTGTATTCTTTGTCGAGAGAGTTTTGGGTATATTGGTGCCACTGAATTGCATATCAGTACCTGAACAGTGGGCAGCTCTGCTTGCAAGCAGTAGGTGCTGAAGCTGCTGAAGGTGCATTTGAAATGGTAGAGGCCAGACACTAAACTGGGTGCTAAAAAAGAAAGGTGGGAGAGCACATGTCAGGTCAGTCAAGGTGGTAAGAAGCAGCAGCCCGGAATGGTCTGACAGTGCTGGGTTTCCCAGAGAAACTGAAATCTCAGCACTTCATCCAGTCCTTCACATTGACACAGAAAAGTGATGAAGTGTTTATACTTGTTTCAAAATTTGTAAACCTTTGTTTCAGTGGATCAGTCATTCCAGCTTAGTGTGAATTACAAGCTAATGTCTATTTGCAAAATTTTTATTAACTATTGGCATTTTCTATACAGCAATAGAACTCTTGTGTTTTTTCCTCCTACTTCTTAATGTGACAAATTTTTTAAAGGCAGATTTTTACAAAGCATACTTGGTACCAATTTCACTGAATATATATTAGAAAGTAATGACAATCTTTGTTTTGGGGAACTGTGCTCAACATTTTCAGGGTGCTCCATGTCTGTTTCTCTGCTCTCAGAGCTTAATACAGGGTGTAACAGCTTATAAACCCTTGCAGGTTAAAAAAACAGCTGGAAAGACTTATCTAGCAGTGTGTAGTGTGAGAGGGCTTATAGCATTCACTCTTACAAGAATAGTCTTCACCATGGAGCCTACTCCATGGGACTCCTATGTAACAAAGCAGTTGTACAACAAAACCCCTTAATACCTGTGTACTGAAAGCTTATTAACTAATAAATGTAGGCAAATGAGATTTTCTTCAAGTGTCTGGGCTAGTTGCATGATACTTAGAATAGGTAAAAAAGATTGATGCTAAAAAGCCTTCATCAAAAATCCAGACCTCACCCCATGCTAACTCAGCAGGGACTGCACTGACTGTCACACTTGTATCCTAAGGCACCTTTGCCATCACATTTAGCTTGTGTGCATGTAGACATAACGTTTTATTACTCTTTTCCCAAATTATTTGAATCTATGCCCACAGATTTCTTTATCCCTGCAGAAGAACCAAGTGGGTTCCATTTTTAATTGATAAACTCTTCCAGTTTTTAAGCATCCTAGTCTATTTTGGGAGATCCTCAAGCTAGTTCCAATCATGCCTGTTTGTTTGGGGTTTTTTTAGAGTTCACTTAGTGCTAAACTAAATGTTTGTGGCAGTAATTTGTATGAGAAGCCTTAGAAATTATCAGCTTTGAGTTTCCCTGCCAGAGAGATTTGTTAAGACAGCACAGTGTCTTAAATAGAAGTGTATCTACCCAATGAAAGTGAATGTTAATGCTTTTTATAGTCATTCTGATCTCACCAGCTCTGGGAGAGGTAAACCAGTAGGTCATTTTCTTTTTTGTGAAGTGTGTAGCTAGTGCTGTCCTTGAGAGCTACTTTACAGAATTGTGAAAAATCACCTTTCTGGTAATTGGGTGGGGAAGGAGAGCCTTTCAACTGGCATTTTCTTTCAGTAAGATTGCTGTACTGCTTCCTGCTGAGTAGCCTGAGGCCTCCAAGATTCAGAGCAAACTGCTGTATTTTCCTGTACCAGATTAATTTCTAGGTAGTCAAGCACGGCACGGGGAATAAAGCCATGCATTACCATTAAGTCTCTCAAAGAAGGACCTTTGCACGATTAGCTGCAACATCATTAAATGCTTGGCACCTAGGACACAGATAAACAGGAAAATGAGACGTACTGAGTACTCCTTGCCATACTTTGAATATAGTTCTGCTTCAGAACATATAGCTTGTGGAAAATACAATTTTAATTCTAGTTTACAGAAACATACACCCCATGCTATTGTGGGAAATATCTTCCTGGATGTAACATTAACTATGGTTGTGACATTAATTTGTTGCAGGTGTTAACTGTTCTTCACCTATACTGGTACTCTGCATTTTCAGTATAACATTGTCTTCCTGCTTTTATGTTGGGTTATTCATTATACTGTTCTGCTTTAGTTTTTGATCTGTTGATATTCAAGCATAAATTCGATTTTCAGTTATTACCTGTCTAAATCTGTTGACAGTTTCAATGTGGAGACCTGTCATGTTCATAGTTCACTGTAGCAATTGGGCAAATCGGTATGATGGGAGGATCAGCATGATAGAAAGGTGCTATAAGGGAAGGGAAAAAGATTGCTTACCCATATCAGAAGATTCCAGGTTCACAGAGGAAAGCTCCACCAGAGAATTCTCCAGGAAGAAATCTTCCCCTGTGGCAGTCAGCCCTTAAATGGATCTAAGAGAGGTGCAACCAGGCTCCATGCCTTCCAGTCACACAGCTGCGTTGCCTTCACCTGTGCTCCCAGGGCTGACCAGGTCCTTTCTGCAGGTGCTCAATCAGCGCTTCAGGCTGTGACTCAACATTTCCTGTACGCTTCACTAAAGTGATGGAGTTTAGTATTTCAGTAATTGGACCATGGATCAGTTATGGATTTTGGGACACAAAATTAGAATATAAAACTTGTTGCTAATTACACCTTGCCAACCTAAACTGTGTATACCGAACAGCTATTAAGTACATTATCTCAACATAGAAATTACAAGCCTTAGCATAGGCATTACATTGTTGACTAGTTACAGGAGCACAGAAAACTTACTACTTTGAATTTTAAATGCTAAAAAAAATCACCATGTGAAAACTGGCTATTAAATATCACTTCTCTGGTTTTAATCTGTTGCAACCCTTTACCTTAGCCCTGCTTGTTTTGAGTATTTGACTGAAAACATTTTTACACTGGAATTATTCTCTATTATATTAGTGGCACATATACTTCTTGTCCCTGTTTGGTGTGATAGGACCAAAAGTGTCAATAAAAAAAGAAGGTAAATATCAGAAAAAATGAGTAAAATATTATGAGTAAAATATTCCAATTTTCACTTTAATCTTCATAAACCAGCTTCTGTTTTTTTCTTCCTGTGACACCATTCTCTTACATTTGAGCCTTTTTTTGAGATTTTGAGGCATTTGTTTCTTGCTTTTTAAAACTTCAACATTAAAATCTGCACAATGCAGCTATCGCGTCCTCACCTCCTTGTAGATGAGGGAGCCAAAAAAGTAGCTCATAGGTCAAGAGTTACACTGGTTACTCCCTAGATTTTCTTTGCTGAGGCCCATTTTTCTTTCAATTTCCACCAGTGAATTCTTTCTGCTCATTCTCTGAACTATTCATTTCTATTGCTATTCATCCTTCTTGTGAGCTGTTTCGTGTCCTGTTAGCCTGCACAAGTGCTGAGAAGAGAGAATGTTGCTTTTCTTTTATCAGAGATTTGACCTGTATTACTTAGGTTTCTGTGTGTACTTCGCTATGCCTCATCTTGCTAAAGAGATTTTTGCTAACCGCAGTTAACAGTTCTTGGATGTGTGTGTAAGGATGCTAGCCAACTATCTGTTTGCATCTACTCATTTTGACTCATTCTTTCTGTAAATTTACAGCAAGTCTTACATGTAAGCTTCTGCCAGCAAGGAACCTTGGCAGGTCCTTGCTGCAAAGGCAAGGCAAAACCAAGGCAAAGCGTGTATGAATTTTATAGCTTGTGCTCTGTGGCAAAGCAACTTTGAAAGATTTAGGCTTTCTCAAGGAAAACATTAATTGATTCCTGACAAATCAAGTTTTATTTCTCATTTTTAGAGTTCTTTTGTGTTTGATTTGTACTACAAAAGAGTTTTTGAGCTAAAGTGCAGCATGTGCTCCAGTAGCTATGCCCTTCCTGGGAACATATTCCTGGTCAGTGCAGAATGAACACAGCTCCTCTTGTCAGCCTGATGATTAGTTTCTGCTAGAAGCAGAAGCGTCTGAAGAGGCAGGAAGTGCTTGTTTTGCAGAACTAATTGAAACTGAATGTGGAATGTGGCTGCAGAGAAAACTAAAAATGTTCTTTCTATATTTGGAATCCTCATGTGTTGCCACCTGTGAATATCTGCAGATATCTGATATTTGGAGTTAGCAGTAGGGCTGCATTCTGAGTATTGCTTTGGTTTGTCTAAAGCTGACTTAGAATGGAGCACTCAGTGGTACTGTGCGAATGTGAGCCCCAGTAAATATGGAGAGAGCTGTTTGTCTCAAAGAATGGCTTGTGGAATGCTCCATGCTAATGTAGTAAAGAGTTGGTAAATTAGAGAACAAATGTTTAAGCCAATGAAAAAGAAGGCAGGGAACAGAAAAGATTCCTTGTAGCAACTGTGAATTGAGGGTATTAATGTTTGGGTAAAGTATGAGTAGTCTCATGAGGTTGCTGTGTGCTCTATTAACAAGCCTGAAAAAGAGGATTTTTATTTTTGTTTTGCTTTGTTTTTTGAGAAATTGATGAAGTTTTGAGAAAAAGAGGAATTCAAGAGGGAGAATTGTTAGCCAGTCTTGAAGAAGTGCTTGCTGATCAGGCGGTTTATCCAGTGCAACTAAGTTACATCTGTGTGTAACTCTGCTTAAAACATTCTCCTTTAAAAGAAGCCCAAGCTCTTACAGAAACAACAGTAGGTAAAAGTAAAATGTGAAAACAAAAGCACTTGGGCTGGACCTGGTCCATATATTCGTACTTCAGAATTGCAAATGAGTAAGGAACGTACCGATTTGGCAAACAGAAGACTGGTGTGTGCATTTCTCTTCTTTAGTCTCCAGAGTTTATGAATTTCTTGTTTAAATAATAATATCGTGCTGCGTAGAATTGAGTTGATGCAGCATAACTAGGGAAGCTGGATTAGGCAACAAATTTATATGCAGATGTCCTTCGAGCCTCCAGATAGGTCACGATGGGAATACACAGTCCTTTCAGGGAATGAGATTACAATGCCACCTAATGAATCCCCAGATTTAAATTAAATTATTCCAACTTAGTCTACTTGTATGGATAGAACAAGTTAAACTACCACTTATTAAATAATAATAAAAAATCCCATGATGGACCATCTATTATTGAGAGCAGCTGGAAATTCTGCTACATGTGACCAAAGTCTATGAAATTACAAATTATTATATTGAAACACTGTCTTACTTACAATTTTCTTTTTTCCCCACAGGCTGTTCTCTTAATATTTGAGTCATCAAAATTCACCGTCAGAAGCTGAAACAGCAAAACAGCTCTTTAAGCCCTTGTGCCTTTGAGTAGAGGCAGATTTTTGAGGCTTTTTTTTTTTTTTTTGTCCTCTTCATCCTTGATTTTATGAACTTCACAGCTGAGAAACTGTCAGGCTCTAGCTATATTGTTGTACTGCATCAAAGATTCAGTGTGATGTGAGTAGCTGTAGCAAACTGAGACTCTATCACTGTGAGCTCTGCAGTATCGTGACCCCCAGCAAATGGAGATGACTCCCATCCCAACAATTGCATATTAGGAAGGGGGCTGGAACACTTGTTTTATCCAGTTGTTCAACAGGCTGCATTCTGAATTGTTTGGGGTATTAGGGGTGCTTCCTGCATGACTTATCACTAGCCCCTGATCTCAGAGCTCTGAAACTTGATCTATCTGTTCTTCCCTTAGGATTCCCGTCAGTCCCTTGGCTTGTGAAGAACAAAGGCTTTACAATGGCCTCCTGCTGTATTTGCTTCAGCACTATGAGATGCTTTTTGTTGATGTGAACCCTTATTTCTCACCAAGACAAGCAGATGGCCTCCAGGTAAGAAAGTTACATGAACTGATTCAGCAAGGTCAATAAAAGTGCTTAATTGACTTGTAAGCTACAAATGGAAATAATTTACTTTGTATGTAGTTTAGGTACTGACCACAGCTACTTGCGAGTACTGTGAATACTTATTCATCACATGCAGAAGCTAGAGGTTAAAATTCTGATTTTTGAAAAAATGCAAATGTAATAGTATAAGAACTGAGTCAGGAACAGAATTCCAATGTTTTCCATTTTAAATATCTTAATGCAGAAATTTGTTAGATCAAAGCCACTGAATTTTTCCCCTGCTGAAACTCTTTATACCGTATTGCTGTACATTGGTGAGTCAGGGGAGCAAAATACAGAAGAGTGAAACCCATTTCATCTTTCCATATTTTGCTGAACTGTCTGAGATTCTCCTTGGGCGACATGTTCTTCTTTAAAAGAATATTAGTACTTTGATTTCTTGTTGGCCTCATTTGTCAAAAATCTCCTGGTGGAAGAACCTTGATAGACTATTGTTGCTTTAGGGGGGAAGGTCAATATAAGTTTAGTTTTCAGTTTGTGATGTCACATATCATTACTGTCTAATTTGAAATTGATTTTAAAAAAAAACAAAACTGGAAGGGCATGTAGTAGTAAGGCCTGCTGTCTCATACTACATACCATGAAGTTACCACAAATCCTTGCAAGTCATGCCTAGATGATTAGAAGGATAACAGATCATGTAGAGTATTATTAAATAGTTTTAAATTGTGTGTAATTGAAGATCACGAGTCTCACATTTGTGACTCCATTCTTTTTGGCTTCTTACTTAATTTTCTGCAGTAAGGAAAAATCAGCAGACTTTTATAATGCTAAGTCACAGTTCATATGTAGAGCATGTTCTATATCTGCAAGGAGAATATTGGGACTGTCATTCTTCTTGGAACACCTCTCTATTAAAAAAAATCCTGAAAAATTCTGTATAATCATAGGTACAGAGAACAGAAGACACCAGTGCAAAGAAGTTTATGAAATGATTCCAAATCTAAAATCCTAGTCAATTCAAATAGATAGCATCGAAACACACACTTCTACCTCCCGTCATACTCTCCTATGTCACTGCTATCTTTGAGAATCCCTGAAACATATACTCAAATGAGTGTGCAAGACCATCCAACTGTATATGCTTCTACTCACAATAACTATGTATTTTTACAGTAGCAAGAGGAAATTGGAAATGTCTTGGAAAAGCCAAGAGACTTGGCATTCTATTTCAATGACTGTTTTAGAAGGAACTTCACTCCCTGTAATTCTGCAGAATGTCACAGTCTGTCTGGGCTTGTGGTGATGTGGGAAAGAAGTATTGTGAAAAAAATCCTTTCAAGTTCTTTAATAAAAGTCCAGATGAAGCATAGCCACGAGGCACTCTCCTGCTCTGAGGTAAGCTTATGAAAGAAATCCCATCTGTGGTGAGAAGGGAATTTAGAATTCTGTGGTTGATCTTTCTTTTGTAATTTCTGGCAGGAAATCCAGCATATTGGATAGGTACTCTTCATCTTTCATAATATAACAATTGCTAAAAGTCCACTAAATGAGAAACATGAAAGTTAGGTTTACAAAGTAAACACAGTCAACGTGCATGAACTAGTTCCAGCAAAGCAAGCAAAAAGTGAAATGGCAAACGTGGCTCAGATCCCTTGTTGCTTCCTGAAAATGAAACTTGCTTTTATTGGCTGTTTCTCCTGAAGTAACTTGAAGCAGTTACACTGATGTTCGCATTTTCAGCTATTTAATTTGAGGGATCTTTTTATTGCTGTTGGGGTGCACTTTTTGTAGAAAATTATGCCATGTAAGTGAATTAAATTATAAATCAAACCTTGCTAGTAGTGATTTGTCATACTCTTTCATCATTATTTCCAAATCTTATGTTCTGGGTTAAGAAACGACTGGACCGATTATTTATTTATTTATTTATTTATTTATTTGGCATGGAGTTTTAGAGTGCTTTTTCATATCTCATCTCTGTGCTGAAGCATGATAGATAAATCCTTCCTGAACTAAGCAAACAGAAGCACGACTTTTTTGGTGTGTGCATACCACTGCATCCCATCCTTCAGTTAATTAAAAGAAAAGCTAAAACCCTGAGGAAATAACTCTCATTTTTTGTTTTCTCTTCTTCCTGTGACCTTTACGTGTGCTTCCCTTTTTATCAGCAAGGCTGCAGAGACTATGTTGTTATTCTCTGCAATAGTGGAGCCCTACTGAAAAGTGATTACAGAGAGCCATTGCTGGGAGAGGGGAGCTGAACTCTCTTTCAGTCCTTCAGAAAGACCACAGACACCTCAGAGTGGATTTCTGAAAGTGTACCATGAGGTTTGAGTTGGTCTGCTTACTGCAGCTAAATATTTTATGGAGAATTTATCTGTTTGACTTACAGTTTTATTGAGATGGTTCTTTGTGGTTTAGGGAGTTTTGTTAGTATCAGGTTTTTAGCATTTTTCAATGAGGATTGTGGATGTTTCCACATTAACCAACTTGTTTAAAAAAAAGAAAAATCGATGCTTCACTTTTGTTTGAAGTTGATATAAAAAAAGATTTGCAGTTTTCCAAGTGGGCTGTCCTCAATTTCAAGGACAGCTCATAATTTAAATGATGTTTTCCTTCGCTAATCCCATGATAATGCTTTTGAAATTAGTTGAAAACTTTCAAAAAACAAAACAAAACAAAACAAAACAAATGTGATCTTAAGAGTTAGTAAACTCAAGCTTCCAGGTTAGACTAAAGCATCCTGCCAGTGTAATTTTTCATGGATAGAGTCTCATAGTTCCGATTCATATTTGTGGGTTTAGCATTTTTTTCTAACTGATACAATCCTGATTATTTTCTTTCACATAAGTTCTCTGCATTGCAAAGATAACTTCTAGTTGAGTTGTGAACATAGCGAGTTCTGTGTGTAGCATTTGAACTGCCAAGAGATTTTTCAGTGCTTCTGTAGGGCTTGCTGTTATGTTATAGAAAGATTTCTTTATATTACTTCCCATTCCACAGGAAAAGTATTTTTTCTGACCTTTGTAAATTTTGTGGAAGCATGGGCTCATTAAACATTAAGTTCTAAGTTTGAGTCTGGGAGCTGTCCAAACCAGAAGACTGGATTAAAAATGCCGCACATTGAGAATCAGAGCAGGACTTGGATCTCCACAGAAATTATGGGTAATATATTGTGAAAATGTTTTTTTTTTTTTTTCTTCTGAATAAACAAAGAAAAATATTTTACTGACTGCAAGCATAAGGATTTGATAAAGAGCACTGTATTAGGCAGTTGTAACTTAAAAAGACTTACTGGAGGTAGCTGGAATATTCAGTACACATTCTAGGTCTTCAATGGCAAAGCCTTCCCATTGATAGGTGAAGAGCAGAGGGGATATGGTAATGTGTGATGTTATTTCTGAGCCGTGCCTATGGTCTTCAGTAGACCTGCCTTTGTGGTGGAGGTCTGTAAGTCTGAAATGACGAATGTGCCTGGTTTCTGTTTTTAGCAAACTACAAGGTGTGGAGTGAATGTGACACATTTAATGCTTGCTCCAACATTGTTGGGGCTTTCTGCTGCCTTACTGTATGAGTGCTGTCACACTTAAATATTTTCTGTGATTTAGTGGATTTTGCCACTACCTCCCTGCTCCCTGTCACATCTAGACAATGTTATTTCCATTTTTCTTTGGCTGGTGAAAGTTGTGCTAGGAGAGAATAGGGGTAGGAGAAGGCGTGTTCTGCAGGCTTTGAAGCACACTCTTAGCTGCGCTTTACTTCAGCAAGTGACTTGAACATGAAGAGAGAAGCCAGTTACATTGAAGTCCTATGATTCTTTAATGTGATGAATAATTCAGAAATAGTGCTCAAGTGGATTGCACAAGCTGATGACATTGATCACCATCAGCCATTCAATAATGGCATAAAGAATGTGAGTGGGAAAGGTCTTTCTAAAACTGATTGCTGACATATGCCTTTCCTGAATTGGAAAAACACTGAGAGGTGATATGCTGTACAGAAACAAACTAAGCAGTAATGGAGAATTACCTTTGTTACCTCTCAGTGTGTGAATGCCTGTTTCCAGTTTTGCTGTGAACAGAGCATCTTGAAAGCTCCTACCAAGCCAGACTTGCAAACCGTATGTTGATTACAGATTGAAGAGTCTTATTTGCAGTTCACAACGGAGAGAAATATCTGATGTGTTTAGAATGGCAGGTGGTTGTCTTGCTTATCAAGGCCAGCTGCAACACAGGGAAGAGACTCAATTAATATAGTGTACACGTTAGGATAACACAAAGTTCTACTTTCAGAGGACCATGCGGCCTTCCTCTGACGTTTATTAAAATTTACTGCACTTGTGGCTTGAGAAGACTTGAGGCTCAGAGATCCATCTCAAGTTTGCAGCAACATTTTCTTCCACTTGGTGTCAGCATTGTTCTCCCTGGCTCCTGAGCTGTATTTCCTTTAAACATAACCCTTTAATACGTTCTGAGCACCTATCTTAAAAGTACATATTAAATTTCTATTTCTGTAACATATCAGCAGACCATCCTGTTCCTTCCTCAGATAATTACTGATGTCAGAGAAGCATGAAGGAAGGGTATGAACTCACCTCCAAATCACTGTGAAACACAACTCTTTTTCATTTTATGTTCATGTCACCTTCTTTAACTCGGCAAGACTACCAATAAAGCCTGTTATCACTTTTGTATTCATTTTCTTTGGTGAACAAGAGCAACTTGATTTGTTCCACACATACCGATGATGAGGGTGTTTTGAGAAAACATTGGAGGTGAAATCTTTCATAGGAAACTCCTCCCTTGGGAAATTAAAAGTATTTTTATTGAAAGACTTGTGATATGTAAGCATCAAAACATTTCAGTCTTTTTCTTTTTTTTCTTTTTTTTTGCTGTTATTGTAGTAAAAAAAATTGACATTTCTTTTAAACTTTTCGTGGCTTTTCAGTTTATATTAGGGTAAGGTTGGGAAAGGAAAATGTTTTCAGAGAAGCAGATGACATGTAAAATAAAACCCTTAAAATATCCACTGTTACGGATATTTTCACTGGAATGAAAAAAAAGATCCTGTTTTTCATTTTTCTGTAGTTTTCATAGAGAGTTGGGCTTTCTGCTATGCAGCAGTGAATTTAATAGATGTTTTCTAGAATGCAGTGCTCCCTCCCTTCTGCCCCAAATTCTTAGACCACTTTTTTCATCTTTAGTGGGTTTTTCATCTACCCTAGCAAGTATGCAAACATGCTGAAGTACTTAACATCACTTTGCCAGAAGAATATGCCGGCACTTATCACAGTTGCAAGAAGAAAAGCTTGGCTGAATCTTGAAAGCGTATCAGTGTGTTATAGCCTAATGCAGTTTCACTCCCAACTTATTTGGATTTTTACTGTAGAGCAGTCTCTGTGGTATTTAATTTCTTTGCTTCAAGTGAAAAAGGAAATGTGTATTCATGAGTCAGCACTGCTATTAAATAGTTTCCAGAGCTATCAAACTAAAGACTAGGTACTTTCTTATTTTGCTATGAAAAAGGAAAGATGTAAAATGTGCTTATAAGGAGAACACAAATGCAGCTGAGCAGAAAATATGAAAAACCAGATGAAATGTATGGCTTGAAATGTAGGCCACAGATGAGTATACCTTTCCTTACTGGGTAGAGTCCTTAATACTGTCTGACTTTGTTCTCACAAGTGGCATAACTGTGCTGTGGGATGACTGTATTAAAGGGTGCTGGTCAGTACTGCATTTTTTTGGTAAATTGTTGAAGAGTTAAATACTTGATGAGGGGTTGCAGCAGCACAAGGCAGCATTACTTCCAGTATGTGACTGGAGCTTTACCTGGGAGTTGCTAGTGTCACTGGCTGTACACAAAAGCAGAGTTAGGAGCTCAGGTTTTGGTTAATTTTGGAGAGCCCTATGCCAGCATCCAGGTTTTGGGATCTTGGTTTTGCCCCTCCATCATGGAACCAGGCCAAGCCAGGCTGAACTGTGACAGAGCTGAGCTATGCAAGTTAAGTATTGGGGATCCAAGTAGAGGAGAACAAATGGTATCCTAGATTCTTTAGGATTTTGGGTTTTTTTTCCCCATTTTTATACACTGAAATTAAGAAATCTATTACCATTTAAAAAAGAAAAAAAGAAAAAAAAAAGTTGGGGAAAAAAGAACCCATTATGTACATTTGCATTTATGTGATAGCTTTAGGATTTTAAAAAAGTTATGCTGAAGATCAAGGGAGCAAGGGAAGAAATTGCAACTTAGCACTTCAGTTGATATTATTTCAGTTGTTAGCTTTTTAACGCTTTTTTCAAACATCAGAATTGTGTGGATAGCTTTCACAGAGTCACAGAATATCCCATGTTGGAAGGGGATCAAATACAACTTGATATTTTGAGCTACCTAATCTTTTTTACCACCATTAGGAGAGGGCTATGCCACAATAATAAATGGTGAGTTGAATTTATGCAGCACACTGTAACTCAAAGCCATACAATACTTCTAAAAATGTTTGTCTTTTGCATATTTTCACTAGGAAAGCATAGCAAGCAATCTACCACCTCAGTGCAAGGAATGATGGATGAAATTATTTCCTTGGCTACTTTACTTTTCTTTCAACTCTTCCTTTCATGTCCTTGAAGTTTCATCTAAGCAAATTCTTAGCTATTTTACTAACCATATTCATTAACTCTTTCCATGTTTAAACAGAATATTGGCTGGGGTGGACAAAAGGGGAAGAGAAAGATAAAACTGCATTCAAGGTTAATATTAAATGGGCTATAGAACAATGCAGTCAACCTGTCTCTGCGTAATTTTTTTTTGCAATCAATAGGGGCAACTCATGTAAGAAGTTGAGCAACTCGTGAAAGCTGCTGCTGGAACATCAAGCTGGTATGTTCTAGATGATCACTAAGCTCTGCGTTCCTTTCTTTTTGACTGCTCTGGGTAATTTGGGCATTACAGAGAAAATAGTCTTCTATTCTTTTAAGTTGTAGAATAAAAATGCTCCTAGCAAATTTGCAATTGCAGGCAGGCTTGTGAGCTAAAACAAAATTTATATCTGAATATGTGTGCAGTGAGTTACTGGCATCAGCGCTGCTGACTTCTTTTCCCATGTTGCTTATTCCTTATATGGATTTGGTAGCAATGTCACTGTGAATTCTAACCAGAAAGAGCATAAGCAGATGAAATCTAAATCTAGATCCATGTCTATGTCAATCCTTCTAAAACTTTGCTTCTAGTATACATTGCAAAAGCATATCCATATAATTGTCATTCTTTATGAAGTTAAATTAAAATAAAAAACACCAAAATCTCTATGTGCAGAACAGGAGAGCAAATTTTTTTATATTGTTATGAAGCTGTCTCTCTTGGGCAGCTTGGCATTTCTTCAGGCACTCTGGAAAAGGAAAGAAATTCTTCAAAATGGGATATGGTAATTTCAATGAACAGACAGGTCAGCTCTTAAGAATACTGAGGGGAAATTATGGTTCTCTTCAGTTAGACTTCTTCCTAGTCAGCAGATTCTACAATATATATTGTTCCCTCTTTGAAATCCTTACATAACATGGGTTTGTTTTTTTTTTAATCAAAGTTGACTTTGGAGTTGAAGGGCTGCTGCTGTCCCTATATGGTCTTCAGTATGGCTTTTCTATTAGTTGAAAGGAAGAAAAAAATTGTAGTGGAAAAGAGAAGAATAAATTACTTCTTCAATATCAACTCATTAATCATTTAAATGAAGTTTGGAGTTGTGTCCCTATCTCACCCTTCTGCAGCTTTTCCATTCGTAGCAAAATAATAGTTTTGGAAACTGCTACATGACCCTTATATATACACAGGTCACTCTGAAAGTAGTGCCTCCTATTTATTTCCATGGAAAGTACAGCAGATACAAAGAGTGCAATGACATTATGTGAGACAGAAAATTGTCAGTTACAACGAACTCTTTTCAGCATGACCACCACCAGCAGCTATGCATTTTCACCGGCTATGAACAAGAGCCTGCATGCCGTGCTCACACAAACCTGTGCCAGTGGATGTGACCCACTGTTACCACTGCTGAAAAGAAGCACCCACTGCCTCTCTGTGCTCATATCCACTGTTTGGTCTTCAGAAATGTTCAGCAAATGTCAGCGAATGTCCATGGGTGCCACTTCTTCTGCATGGAGCCACCACTTTGCTCCATTTCCACTTCTGTGTCAGATGCCATTCCGTCAAACTGCCCCTCAGCTGCCATTTGTCACACAGCAACAAAATATAACACAGAATCTTAGCAGAAACATGCAACCTCTGCTGCCATATCACCAACATTTGCCTCTGATGTCATGAGCTGGCATAATAAAATAGGAGACATTACTTTTGGAGTAGCTCTCATATATTTTTTCTTCCCTTTCTCTTCCAACAGTTGTCTTGAAAGTGTCTGCCAGTGCCTGCAGCTTATTCCTTCCCTGCTATTTCAAGGCTTCAAGATATGCTTGGAATGAAAAACACTTTGAAGATTCAAGTCAAAGTGTCAAGCTCAATGCCATTGTTGAATAGCACCAATACTTAAGCTCCTTGTTTACTACAGGCCTCTCTTGCTTCACTTCTGAAAACATCAAATACGGACTGCAACCTTGAAAAGGAGCTGGACACAAGTGGTGCGCCCTGTAATCTATTCAAAGCCTCTTGTATTGTAACATTTCTGTTTCTTTGAAATACAAAACCACAGGTCTGTTTTTTGGTTTCTAATTTTTGGTGGATTATGTTTCTGGGAATTGTCAAACAATTTACACTGAGGTTTTCTTTGTTTGTTTTGAGAAACTGTAAGTGCTGTCTTTAGTTTTGTTCTGTTTTTCTTCTCTTGGTAATATATAAGGCTTTCGTTTTATGTTTGTATTATCAACACATTGCTTGAGAATGCGTTTACGTTAATAGTTCTGGATAGCAAATTACCAAAGGAAATACTACATGCTATAATGCTGTTGTTATGTACAATGTATACTATGTTTATATTCTATGCTAATTATACTATTCCTTTTACAATATAGTAATTTATTAGTAATTGCAGTGAATTGTTAGTTTTTAACACTTTGAAAACTAAGTAAAACCACCTCTAGGTGATTTTACTTTCCCCCTCCCTCCCCCCCTCTCCCTTCCCCCCTCTCCCTTCCCCCCCTCTCCTCTCCCCACCCCCCCCCCCCGCCGTTATTATCCCCTCTAGTGTTGCTTCTACACAGTAGAAGGGCTCCATTTGTTGTGTTCAACACTAGATAAAGACCACGACCACATATCATAGGCCACAAAGTGTCAGGTGCGTCCCCTGCTGGGGTTCAGGTGGAGGCAGAGGTGGGAGACGGGAGGGAACTGCACGAAGCACAGCTCCATGCCTCTCACCTTCATCACTCAAGCTCTGCACCAAAACCTGCCTTTAATCCTGCTGCTGTAGGCTCCCTTTGGCCTTAGCTCCCACTCAGGACAGTCAGCTGAATGGGGCACCCAAAGGAATGGGGACCCATGGGAATGGAGCACCCAAAGGAATGGGAACCCGTGGGAATGGGGCACCCAAAGGAATGGGAACCTGTGGGAATGGGGCACCCAAAGGAATGGGGCACCCAAAGGAATGGGAACCTGTGGGAATGGAGCACCCAAAGGAATGGGAACCCATGGGAATGGGGCACCCAAAGGACTGGGAACCTGTGGGAATGGGGCACCCAAAGGAACGGGGCACCCAAAGGAATGGGAACCTGTGGGAATGGGGCACCCAAAGGAATGGGAACCCGTGGGAATGGGGCACCCAAAGGAATGGGAACCCAAAGGAATGGGAACAGTACTATGCTGATACAACCTATTTGACTAAAGTGAAATAATGCTTCCTTTTCAGCGTTCAGAGCGCAGACTTTAATCAGCCTGTATTTCTAAACCTAGTCCTCGAGTTAGAGCAAGTATTTTTCAGTTCGATCGTTTATCTTTGTGAGCAACAGATTTGTTTCTCGTATAACCGGTGTTGCTAAATGAATAATTCTGTACAGATGTTTTACAGGGCTGTCACCGTTTTTATGGAAACTGTTAGAAACACAGAAGTGGATTGCTGTTTGTGGCATACCAGCATGCAGCACTGATCCGTAACAATAACTCAGCTACTTAAATATTGGCAAGAACGCCAATGGCTGTAGTTACCTCAGCATAGCATGAAAGTAGCAAAAGGATAGGAATTTTGGGAAAACAAGTAATGTCTGCATCCTGCTGAGCGTGCTAGTCAAATCAGGCTTATAAGATGCTGATCACTTTTCTACTTACAATTGCAGCAGAGAAAACAATTGTTTTACTACTTGTATGCATAGTAGTTTTTTAATTACACTTTCAGTTAGTTTAGTTTTAATAACCTATTAAATTGTACTAGCAGATAGAGTTAAAAGGAACTCCAAGGCATGTATTCAGAGGTTTGTGTTCTCGAAACTTGGGGAAATAATTTCCCTGTTCTTGATCTTCTGTGCAGGAACTCTTGCACATGGGATAGCAGATTGAGTTTCCCCAGGATTAATGCCAGAATTAACTGAAATCCCAGAGATGCAGATCAATCATTGCTTCGGAAGCTGCGCTTCTGATTTACTCTGTTCTCTAATCCACTGTCTTCTGTTGTGATAATGCTGATCCTAAAGCAGAATATGAGCTTGAAAGTGCTGTAGTTTAAAATTACATAAGATAGTGAATGTATCTCTGTTGCATACATAGTATTCAAAACTAATAGGCTTTGTTTGTTTTTTACTTTTTCTTTCTTTCTTTTTTTCTTTTTTTTTTTTTTTTTCCTACCCACTACAGTAAGATAATTCAGCAGAAACATTTAATTAGCTCTTATATTTTACTCCAATGCTGCTGTTGTTTATGGGGCCATAGAAATAAGCTCTTTTATACAATTTATACTATCTGTGGTATTAGATCTGCAGAATTTAATGAAATGCTAAGCTGTCTTGCGATCAAGCTTCTCATTTTTTTTTTTCCCTACATCTTAGGAAATACTTGAGCGGGTGAGTTCAAATACAGAGTTGGATAGTTAAAACATCTTATTTGGGAAATGATCAGGCTCAATGACCTGGTAAAGAAAAGTCCTGAGCTTGACAAATGAAAAATATACTTCAGCTTGCTTCAGTAATTTTATGTTAAGTGCATTTCTAAACTCCTTGTGATTGCATGTATAACACGTGTGAATGTAAATCTGAAGGTCAAGATTTTACTTAGCCCTTCCTGTTATTGTTAATGAGGAATTTCCAGAGTTGTGTCATAGTTTCATGATTTTTGTTATTGCAATTCTACATCATGAGATCGTGTACTGCACTGGGAGTTAAGGTGTTAATGCTGAGGATCTGCATAGTTCCTGGTATACCTGTCTCAGAAGAGAAGGAGAATGACATATCCCAGAGGACTGTTCGCTGTTCTGTTTCCATTTTCCATTAGAGGTTAAAAAAGAAAACTGTACACAGGTCACAAGATGTTCCCTTTTCCCTTACTGCTCAACTCTGCAGTGCATGGTCCCTAGCCGTCTCACCTTCAGCATTAGAATGAGGCCTTTGGTTTTGGACACTCTCTCATTTTATTTGAATTATTAACTTCAATTCCAATTTCGTTGTATTGTATCTCCTCTTTGCAGGGGAGCTGGACTTGATGATCTCTAGAAGTCCCTTCTGGCCTCTACAATTCTGTGTATTGTGTTATCTTGCATTCTGATACCTTTTATTTAGTAAATTACCTTTCCTCCTCAAATTGTTGCTGCTGCTTTGTTTTTAGGCCCATCTCCTTACCCTTTCTCCTTTTCCCCTTTTCCCAAGGCGTGGATCTGTGGGGTGGGTCCCCCTGCCTCATTAGTCACGGAACTGCGTCAACCAGCACATAAACCGTCTACAGTGGGTACAATAAATGCTTTCATGCACTGAAAGTTTGCAGAAATAAGCTCTGGAGCAAATAGCAGCGTTAAGCTACACGCAAACAAACCCACAAACCTGACATATTTGTGCCTCATTGTGACAACAGAAATCGATGTGTCCATGGTAAAGACAAAACTGGATCTTTCTCAAAATGCCTAGACCCTTCCTCTCAAATGCCACAGTTCCAAAATACTTCTCTATCCTAAGCAAGCAGCTACGAGGCATGAAAATAATCCCAAATATTCAGTTGGTAGAATGAAATATTCAGGTAGAATGAAAGTAAAAGAAGCAGATGCAGTCTGTCAGTGTTACTTTACTAATTTGTAAAAGCAAAAATTTGACAGGCATCTCATTAAATTACGCTCTCACAAAATTGGTGAGGAATAAACAACAAATTTAAAGTCATTTGCTTATAGAAATATTAATTTCCATTTGGCTTCCAGCACCTGCCTTGCTAAGAAGCATCTTATAAATGTCTCGAGTATGAGAAGTCAAATAGGTATCGATATTTACTGCCTTTCTATCACTGTTTTGTGATGATCCCACTAGTGAAGTTCTGAGAGACTTGTCCTTGGAGGAAAAGGTTTTCTAAAATTTGTGATAGCTTTTTTAACCAACTTTTGTTCTGAAAAGAAATCTGCAGTATGGTTATTCTGCCTTGCGTTATAATGAAAGGGTGGAACAGTCAGCAGGATATACATCTGGGATGAAGAGGTTTGAATTTTGAACTAGGTCAACTACTGGTTTAATGCATGGAAACAGGATATTTGAGTCCCCTGTGACTCAGTCTTCTGCCTTTGAAAAGACAAAATATTTACACGATCCATCAAACTGCTATTTGAAGCAGAGTTAAACACCTTACATTCCCATCTGAACTAATTGAGGGGCTGATCTCTTGAGATGTAGTGCCTTTTTCACCAAATACCACCCTTAAGTTGTAACATTTCAATGTGCTGAATGTCAGTGATGTGCGACAACCAGGGATCCAATTCACAGAGCTCACCTGAAGCAGTTCTGTATTGTAAAAATATTATCTCTTCAAATGAACTGGAACATGAAATAAGAGTGTTATCCATTCTCATTAATCATCATCATCATCATCATCATCATGCATTAACAGAAAACAGGCCAATAAGAAATGGCTGGCCAGAGTTGGTATTTGATTCCTATTAAGAAATACTTTCTTGTCTATTGACGATGATCCTAATTAGTGTTTTAATAAGATGTCTGAAGAAGAGCAGACATCAAATCTGCCCTTCTTAGGACTGCTGTGAAATCGCTGAAAGTTGTTTTCGATGCAGCACAGGAAGAATAATGTGTAAACTCTGAAAAACTGCTCACAAAGGTACGTAGGTGTTGTTTTAATGCAAATCACATCATGCATGGCACAAAAACAAATGATTATTTTAAATATTTGAGAATGAGTAACCAAATTGTTCCTGAAACACTAAATGAGAACTATTTCCAGAGATTACAAATAGTAAATGCCCCCTCATAAAAGGGCACTATGACCCCAAACAGTTCGCAGTTGGATTGAGTCTGAAAGCTAATGGCAAGGGTCAGCATTAAGGTGAATCTATTTTTTCATTTGTTGCAATGTAAAGCTAACAAATTCTGTGAATCTGGGGGCAGCGAGAGACACCGTGTTGTCTGACAGATTGGCACGTGAAGGAAATGAAACACAGAAATGACAGCTGCCACAATCAAATTTAGGTTTAAAATGCACCCTGGAATTATGTCACAGAATAGCTTTAAAGACAAATAATTCACTGACTTCTGAAAGGACAAGAAGCTGTGTATTGCACCAAATCAATCAGCTGTGCCCCTCCACTGAAATACAAGAGACAAAGAGCTAAAAGTGACTAAAATGAAAATAAGTTATGAAAAGAAAGAATGAGAGTATATAACTAAGGTCATAGGTCGCAGTGTTTAAAGATAGAAGAAGCATTATTCCAGCGGGCACTAGAAGAGATTCACAGCGATCCATTTCTTGTGGAAAATCAGAGCATTCTTGTATGGTGTTTCCATATTGCTAGGAAAGTTCTTGTAACTAGCAAACCACTACTTAGAATCACCAAATCATAGAATTGCTCAGGTTGGAAAAGACCTTAAGAATCATCGAGTCCAACCACAACCCAACCATACTACCCTAACTCTAACAACCCTCCACTAAATCATGTCCCTGAGCACCACATCCAAGTAGTTTTTAAACATATTCAGGGACGATGACTCAATCACCTCCCTGGGGAGCCTATTGCAGTGCTTAACTGGAACAGACTTCTTTCTGTAAAGAAGTTTTTCCTTCTTGGCCACCTGGGCCAAGTTTTAGTTTTGGGCAGTAGCTCTTACAAGCATTTAACGCCCATGTATTCCCCAAGACATTCTCATTCCAAGTGCAGAGTCAGAGGGACTCTTTTCAACTCATCCTTTGCATACAACTGATTGTAACTCAAAGTTTGGTTCCTCCTATCTTCTGCCCATCAGACAATCAGATAAATGACATGAGGCATTTTCCAGAAGTCCAGTGAAGAGCCCTCTCAAAGAACTATCAAGTCTTTTCACACCATTCTTCAGCCAGCTCAAAACTAGAAGTTTGTTGAGGCACTGATTTGGAAGGGAGGTTCTTTGGAAGGGCGTCAGGTCAGATGCAAAGCGATCTATTTGAATTAGGCACAATTATTTAACTTACTAACGAATCCCACGGCGAGGTGAGGAAAGCGCATAACAAACTGTAATTGAAAGTGCGATTCAAGACCCCAATTCAGATCTAGAGTCCGCATGTCTAACTGTCAGGGCCTCCGGCCGGCGCTAAAGAGGCAACGACTCCCAGGTGCCGCGGGGACGCGGCCAACCGGGCACAGCTGCGCCTCGTCGGCAGTCCGGGGCGGGGCCCAACGCCTCTTAAGCTCAGCCAGAGGCCGCTGGAAGCCACGAAAGCTACCGGGAACCAGAGCGGGCTCTGCTCTTTCGTCCGGTCCTAGCGCCGCTGATGCTGCTTTTAAAGTGAGTGCTTCGGATTCTGAGCAGTGGCCTCTTTAGGTTGTTTTGTTTCAGGCTGCAGCGAGATGTCTCGCGGTAAGGATCTGCCCGAACCGGTGAGCCGTTCCGGTAGCAACGGGACCGCGGAGGCGGCGAGTGCTCGAGAGCCGTTCGGAGCCGTCTGCCCGCAACTCTCGCCGCCCTCCGTTCGGGGCAGGCGCGGAGCTCCCACCGGGCTGCCCCGGCTTCTCGGGGCCGTCGTAGCGTCGGCTGCCGGCGCGTTTTCAGAGGGTGCTGCCGCTCGGCTCTCCGAGTCCTAGCGCAGCCCAGGGCTATATAATAGAGGCTTCAGTTCCTCCCGCTCTCATCGTTGGGAGCGAGCGCGACGGGGCCATATTCCTGCAGCCTCAGTGCTGCTGGGAGTAAGAAACAACGCAAAGGGCTGCTGGGACAAATTTTCTTCTATTGCAGGCTGAACGAGGGCTGCAGCGGAACCTCTCGTTATTCTGAACCGGTGAGATGGTGGAAGCGGTGAGTGTTCAGAAGTCACTAGGTAAGCTGTCTCTTCTTGTGGTTCATGTAGGGCCACCGCTCGGCTGCATCTGTTCGGGTTCGGCACGGCGCTATCGCCGGGCTCCCACGTGGCCCTTTTCGAAGGGCCGGAGTGGGGTCGCCGCCGAACCGCCCGAGACCGAGCGCGACCCGGGGCGGCCTCGGCATCCCGGAAGATTTTTCCGGATGCTTCAGCCTCTCCTGCTTCCAGTGGTAGGAGCGAGCAGGATGAGACTATGAATTCCTATCCCGCCTCCTCCCCCTGCCCCTTATGTGTAATTTTAGGATGTGATCTCATTCAACCCATGGAGATACGGTGGGACAGATTGCACGACTGGAATGCTGTTGTGGATGGCTGAGTCCCTTTACAGAAGAGACAGACAGGTGAGGTGGTGGAGTTGCTCTTCCAGAGAGAGAACTGGAACGTGTTGAGCTCTGCTCCCCTAGTTCTGCATTCATCCTTAGGCAGTGACATGTGAGGCTCAAGAAGCAGTAAATGTGGGTAACATCACTGGGTGTATTGGTTACAGATGAGGAAGCTGATAAGATCTTCTGCATGTGGCTCACAGTAATCTCAGAGCTGTGGACATTAGCTATCACAGCAGACTTGAACCACCCTGCCATTTGTTAGTAGAGCAGAGCTGTCAGGAATACCTCATTCCAGGAGATTCCTGCTGGTGTCAAATATGAGTTTGCTGACAGAGGAGATGGAGGAGCCAATGAGGACAGAGGCATTGCTGACTTTTCTTACTCAGTGTGGAGGAAGGGCCGGTTGGAGATGTGAAGACTAGGTCAGCCTCAAGTGCAGCAGTTGTGAGCTGGTGAAGTGTGGGATGTCATGTAGAAGATACAAAGCAGTAAGTAGGATTGAAACCTCAGATTTTGAGGGAGGAGCCAACTTCGTCCTCTTAAAGGACCACCTTGGAGGTATTCCTTGGGTTAGAGCACTGGGAGGGGTCCTGCCAGCGGCTCTTGATTCTGATGCATAACTTGTTTGTGTTCAGGAGGGTAAGAAATAGAGCAGCAGTGTCAGGAGACCTGCACGGGCAAAGGAGGAGGTCATAGATAACTTTCCTTTTTCTGTGGCTGCTAGGGGTGTGCCTGGATGTGGTGTGCCCTCTAGATGAGATGGCATGATTTAACTTGCTGTCAACTGTGGGACCCAGATTCCTTTCCCCAGTGCAGCTGTCTGGCCTTATCCCCCTGGCTGCCCCTCTCAGGTGCAGGCTCAGGTGCTGGCTGCTGTCAAACTTCAGCTGGCTGGCAATTGCATGGCCTGCTACTGGGTAGAGCGAGAACTCAGCAGAGCCCTTCTATCGCTGGGGAGTACATAGCTCTTCCTGCTATGGTGTAATCAGCAAATGTACTTAATGTACATTTGACTCCTGAGTCCTGATCACTTATAGCAATACTGAAGAGAACTGATCCCCATAAAAAGCCCCTAGACTCTGACTGGCACCTGTCTCCCAGCATCTGGTGATGTCATTTACTCTGACAACTGCTTGGAGCCTCTTTTGTATGGGGCCAAGTCAGTGCTTAGCCCTTTGTTTAAGAAGTACAATTAGGAAGGGCTGTTTCCTGGCACAGGATTTAGCTTCTGGTTCCCCTTACCTGACAAGAATTTTCCTTACCTCCTCAAAGGCATAATACATGCTTGGAACAAGAGCCCAGGCAACGATGTCTTGCTTTTGTAATGTGGGTGTTTTCTCATGTGCCAAAAAACTTGTAGGAACAGTTAAACAGAAGCTACAGCAATTATTGCATGTGTTAGACAGTTGAAGTTACTGGAAACATCCCACTATAGATGAATGGAATAAGATGTGTAATAAATATCTGTAATACATCAATTACTTTATCTGTGTGTGTATATATTATCTGTAATAAATCACTAATAAACACAACTACAAATAAACAGTTTCTCCCAAAAGTTGGATACTTTTAACTGCTACAATCCATGTCATTTTACTCTTTGCATGATCTGCGTAGTAACATTATTAGCGTATCCTACCATTTACTATCTAGAATGGCTGAGCAAGAAGTATAGTTTGCAGCTTTAATGCCTGAAGCTGCCAAAAAAAACCCCTTTCAGGGGTTAGAAATGTATTTCCCAGGTCTTCTCAGAAGAGGACTTCTGCTGTGCGTGCCAGTCTTTGTAATGTCTTTCATTGCAAACAGTTATAAGCTCTCCTCACTTTAACCAGAGGACCAGACTGTATGCATGTATTCCTCCATCAGTGAAGAGAAAAAAGGATTTTCTCCCTCATTTTTATGATGAATCAGGAACAAATGCGGTGATCCTTAATTCATGTGAGCTTTACACCAACAACCAGCATTTGACCATGAGCAGTTTCAAAAAACCTGACCTTTGTTCTGTCCTTGTTTCTGTGGAACACCAATCCCTCATCAAACAGCACAGGAGGAAGACCTTCTTCCACTTTGTGTGCTTACTTGTAATAACATCCATAGTCATCTCCCTTCTGCATCAACTCAGGTTATCAGGCTGAGAAGATAAATCCCTCCCTACCCAAACCTACACACTGAATGTCGAAGAGGATTTTTTCGCTTGAGAAGACATAAGAAATAAACTGCGTAAGGACAATAGGAGGTCTTTTAAACTCCTTTACCTGATTTAGCCTCTCAGTGGTTCGTAGGTTCTGAAGTATTCAATGCAACACATAACAAAAAAAAGAAAAAAAGCAGCCGGAGAAGGAGGAAAAGTAAGGAAAGAGCAAGGTTGCGGATTTCATCTTCATAACTGCCATGAGACAGGCACAATGAAAAACTGTCACAAAAAGTTGCATGCACACATCCAAAGTCCTAGGCTCACAAAACAACTCTGCAAAGGAGGGATCTCCTGAAAGAGATCCTTCCTCAGTGCCAGTCAGCCCTTAAATGGGGGTTTAAGAGGAGTAGAGCTTGGCTCCACCCCTTCCCCTCCCACAATTGAATTGCCTTCACCTGTGCTCCCAGGCCTGACCTGGTCTCCCCTGGGGCTCAATCAGTGATTGCCTGACTTGGCAGTGCACTTGCAGTCAGGCAAATCTCACTGCTTACACTATAAGCTACTCAGGCTGCCGAGACATGCCGGCTTTGAGAGGTCAGACAGAACTGCTTCCTGGAGGGAAGTGGAATCGCTTACCCTTCTCAATATGTTTCCCCAGAGATGAGATCCCACGAAATTCACTAGCCTAAAAAAAGTGCTCAAGAATGAGACAACCTAATTCCAAGGAAAAATACTGAGCTCACTGGTCAGTACTGCTGGGGAAGACGGCTGTGGAGATGGGCAGACTGACAGGCTTTTTTCTTGTTCTGTTTTTACTGGTTGTCTGATACAGTAAGATCATCAGAAATAAGAGCACATGCCCGAGGTCACAGTCTGACTTAATGAACACTCTTCGCAATTATTTACACTAAAGCTGAAGTCTCGCTTAAAAAAGCTGCAGGAAGAATTTGCTTGGTTCCCAGACGGGACAATCACCTACCTCTTATAAGAAATTTAATTGCCATATCCTCAGGAACTGACTGCTTCCCAACATATCTGATTTCTGGATGGGAATTTGCAGTGGCTCCAATTCAGACTATTTTACTAATTTTTTCTAGCAAAAATATCTAAGAAAATACCTTTTTATGCAGACCAAATCACTAACACCTCAGTACATTCTGTGTGCGGAGCATGTCATTTTAATTTATCCCACACTTGATACACACCATTAAGAAAGCCAATCTGCAAAAGCAGACAAGAATTTCAGAAAAAAATAAAGTTATATATATACACATATATATTCTCAAATGCTGAATTATAAAAGAGAACTAAAGGGAATCCTTCAAGACGCCTTTCTGAGAGCATGAGCATTCTCCAGCTCTAACAGTAGAAACTGGGCACAGAAGGCAGGAAACCAGCATGCGACAGAACTATGATCGGCCAGGGAAAAAGCAGGGGGCAAAAGAAGGAGAAAGGAAAGGCAGGGGAGACATGGACGCATCGCCTGGGAAGAATGCAAGAATGCTTTCCATAAGTCAATCAACAGAGGTGAAACTGAACTTGGAAGGAGATTTTAAAAATTAACAGGAAGGGATTTCCATGGGTACGGTGTTCAGAAGAGAAAGTTCAAGGAAAGTGTGCTCCCTCTGATATGCCACAAAGGAGAAAAGGCAGCAACGTACATAAATTAGGCTGAGGCCCTCAGCAAGTTCTTTGCCTCAATCTTTGCTGGCGGTCTGTCTTCCCATATCTCCCCACTCCCTAAACTTCTGGGTAGGAGCTGTGGCAGTAAAATCCCTCCCACTGTAAGAAAAGAGTAACTCTGAGACTACCTGATGAGACTGAATGTGCTCAGGTCCATCATGCCTGATAGCATGCATTCCAGAGTCCCAAAGGAACCTCCTGATGGGATGGCCATGCTGCTTTCCATCAAACTTGATGAGTCATGGTTGCCAGGCAACTCCCCATGGTTAGAGGAACATCACATACCCATTTTCAAGACTCTTGGAGAAGAAAAGGCCTCACTGGGGGCTTGTAGCACTTGCAGGAAGATTATAAACAGGAGGGAGACCAGCTTTATATGCAGTCTGTTTAATACCAGAACACAATTGAAAGTACAGTGACAATAACAGGCTGGCAAAGTCCTAGGCTGCAGCAGATGAAGATAAACCCAAACATACAAGCCACCACAGATGCAGGAAAAAAAGAAAGAAAGAAAAAAAGAAAGAAAGAAAAAAAGAAAAGAAGATGTTTACCTTCACAAAACCTCTGATAAGCCAGGACCTCCAGCAAGGTGGCCTCACCTCTGCTGCCAAGCCTTAAATGAGGCCTGGGAAGGGATGGATCTTGGTTCCCCCCCTTCCTGTCACTCAACTGCACCTGAACTCCCCTGGGATGGCCCTGCCTGCCTGCCAGGTGCTCAATCACCAGCTCCAGCTGTGACTGAGCATTTCTGCTGCAGCCTGATAGTGACAGGACAAAGCGGAATGGCTTTAAACTAACAGGGGGGAGATTCAGGTTAAATATTAGGAGGCAGGAATTTTTACTTGGAGTGGTGAGGCACCGACACGGGATGCCTGGAGAAGTTGTGATGGCCCACTCTTAAGAGGTGTTCCAGGCTGGGTCGGTGGAGCTCCGGGCAGCCAGATCGAGTGGGTGGAGGCCCTGCCTGTGGCAGAGCTGTTTGAACCAGATGATCTTTAAGGTCCTTTACCACCTGAGTCACTCTGTGATAGAAATGGATCAACTGAGGCTGAGCCAATTTTTTTCTTTCTAACATTCACAATGTCTGATTGCATAGAGATAAAACATCGTAAGCCGTTTCTAAGTTGAGAGCAGAGTGCTGACGTGGCTTTGGATCCAGTTTGCTTTTGATAAAATCTCAATCAGCTTCGGAACTGCGTTCATTGTTCAAGCAATGCGTCAGGATCTCTGTTGATTTTCACGTTCCCAGCAAGTCTAGGTGTTCCAGTTAGTCAGTGATGACATTGCTGAATTCACATACAATTTATTAACTTTTTCTAACTAACGTGCTAACAAGTAATAAAGTGCAGACCACAAACTCGCCTTGAAATGCAACTCCACAGTTGGTCTTCTTGATGTATTCCTTCACAAAAATTGATTCTCTCGGTGATGGGCAATAACAGTTTCTCATTTCTAGGCTGTCATTTTTGTACTGCTTCAGTCAAACTCAAAAAATCATTCTCAACTAAGTTAGAAGAATTAATTATTTAACTGCTACCGCTGTACAAACATGCAGAATGCATGACACTAGGAAATTATACAGACTACTAATTTATACTGCATTGTAGTCTGTTGGGCATTTCACTTGGCAATTTTTTTTTTTTAATCTGTCTAGGGCTTCTCAGCTTTTCCTTTTTCTCCCTTTTTGAAACAATAGGAAATTTCATAAAATTAGTAGTCTGTATAATTTCCTTCTAAATTTTCATCTCTAGTAAGAACTTCACAAGGTGCAGCTGGAAAGCATAGTATTTTTTCCATTGAGATTACATTTATATTACACTCTATATCTTTTCAATGTGTTATGAAGTTACATTTCTCTATCAGATGATTGCAAATGATGACTGGCATCCGTTGGTATTTATGGAATCAAAATAATATTAATAAAAATAAGGGATGTACTGTACTGGTGTTCCTGTGTGTCCTCTGGGTAATAACCTAAGTATCCTAGCAACACAGAAGGGCTTTAGTAACTGGAAATCAGATGTTTCATATGCAGGGTGTGAAGTAATTTTGCTTCTGTGATGTTGGCCAAAAATCAGAGCTTGCTGATGATTCTCAAGGGTCTCCTTTATGTGGTTTTGCACAAAGTTGTAAGATGAGTTGCTGGCTTTCACTCACGTATCAGACAAATAACATAGTGAAGATTATATTGTTTTCTTGTTTGTTCCAGTATGTATTACAAATTGACTGTACATAGTGATGAGAGGATGTTTCAAAATCAGGCTTCTGATTCTTCACTGATTTTTCACTTAGAAAATTTTGAAATAAAGGTGCTTTATTCCTTCTTATTTTCTTTTGAATTAAAGTCAAATGGATTGCCAGCCTTCTCTGAGGTATTTCCAACAGAGAAACAGATCTCACAGTTCAAATAGTGCATCACATAATTACTGGCCCTGTGAAGACTGAGAAAGTGTGCAAGATAGTCACCTTGCATGTTTCTAGGAAGGTCAGCTGTCCCCACTGCCCTTTCTCTCAGCTTAATATTAGGGCTTCTGCCTGTTAAGAAGCTACTTAGGTACCGATTGCTGCAGAAGCCTGGGAGCTAGGATACGCTCCCCATTGGAGAGCTGCCTGGGGATGTATATCCTACAACATCGAAGCACTTGGATGTCTTCCACGTTTCCTGGGCATTGTCATTTAAAAGTTATTCAAGGGCAATATGTATATGAGATCTTCATAGAGTGAGTAACTATAGAGATGTGACATGAAAGACAGAGAATGGCAGTACTACTCAACAGCCCCAATTGTCCTGAAATTTTTCTCCATGGCCTTTCAAGTTAGCATCAAAAGCTTGCTTCATGCAGTAAGCTTAAAAAATGCCATTTTAAAGAGAAGAGACAGGATTCACAGTAATATTTCCTATCAAAACCTCTCACTGTTAATACTCAAGAAACCAAAGTGTGTACAGATAGAATCTCAAGTTCCAGAAGAGTGACACATCTCATCAATAAAACTCTTCTTGCTCTGTTTTGTTAAGCCAAATCCTCTGTGGGAATCTGGGTTTGAGCTGCAGGTTTTCATATGATTTCTATGTCTTGTCTTTCATATGATTTCTATGATTTGTACTGAGATTTGTTTTTGTTTTGATTTTAACAAACAAGCATGGGAAGTTAACAGTAACGAGAACAGGAGTGTTCCTCAAAACTTCTTATATCAAAGTCAGTGAAGAAGGAATACAGGATATGGGGAATCTATGCCAAAAAATCACCCCAATTTGCACTCTTAAAGCAACCAAGCAGAACCATTTGTAGTAGCTAAGTCACTGTGACCTCCTAGCACACTGTCATTAAGCAGAATCCAAATGTTTTCTAAATAACTAATTCTTTTAAGAGCATATCACCTGACCCCCCAGTCCTTACTTTGTATGAAGGACACAGATTTGGAACTCTGAGAAAGAAAGAGCAAGAAGGCCTCCAGATAGGAAAGTTCTTTGGTTTTCCTTGTCCTCCAAAAATTACTCATATGGCTATGTTAGAATCTGTCTTTCTTATCTCTAAAGCAGTGCTCTGTTTCAGTGCCCTGCTACTTTCAAGAATGTAAATCCACAGCCTGAGCATTATCCCAGCTGCTATGTTTGGGCTAAGGGTCTGGTTACAAAACAAGTATTTTGGATGGAAGGGCAGAATGTTAATGAACACTCAAAAGAAGTGCAGGAAGATTGTCTTTAAGATAACTCAAACTTAGAAGAAACAGATTTTGTCTTTTACTCCAAATTAGGGTATTAGTGTGTGAGGTTTTTTTTTTTGTTTGTTTGCTTTTTTTTTGGTCAGTTTTGCAATAGTTTCTTAGATGGCCATACATGACATGAAAGTTTTTCTGTAATAAAGTGTTCCCGTTTTCAAGGCAATTTGAATCAACTTTCTCCACTTTACATTTAAATCACGTTGCATGACAGAAGAATAGCATGACTAAACTGACAAAACAAAGACTACCCTTTATCTCTGTTACCCAAACGGGCATTTGGGTAATCAATTCATCCTTCATGAATTAGAAATAGCACTGATTTACAGTCTGTGAGCCAGGGAAAGTATTCTCCAGCTAGTGATCATTTTAAAAGATTTTTGAGATCTAAACTTACTTG